ACCGCGTTCCTGGCCCGTCGGAAGTCGTCTTGGGAGCCGCTCTGGGCCGTCTTGGGGCCTTCGGGGGGGCGCTCCAGGGTCGTCTCGAATGCCATCTTGGCCGTCTTGGAGGTCTCTTCGGGTGTCTGAAGGCCTTTTGGGGAACGTCTTGGAAGTATTTTAGGCCGTCCTAGAGTCATCTTGAAGGCCACTTGGAGGCTCTGGGGGCGATCTTTGGCGCCTCTTGGGCCATCGGAAGACCGAAAAGATGAGAATCCCAAACTTCATCGACAGCCTAAGGAAATCAATGATACTTGCTTCTTCGGGCCCTCCTGGAGCACCTTTTGGACGCCTCAGGAGTTCTCTTGAGCCGTCTTGGGCCGTATTGGAGGCTTCTTGGGCGAATTCCGAGACATTGTGGACTTTCATGGGCCGTCTTGGAGGCCCTCCTGGATCATCCTGAGCGAACTTGAGAGCCATCTTTGCCGCCTTGGAGGCAAACTTGCGCCGTCTTGGAGCCATCTAGACCAGGAAGAGAACCTAGGCAGCCACCTCGAACGCAGCCCCAAGGGGACCTCCAAGCATTCAGCACGCCAGGCACCCTTGTGGCAAGATCACTGGGGGCGGCGGATCGATAATCATTCGGCACATCCCGCTACCGTGCCCGGATTGTGGGTCAGAGACCTCAGGGATGTTTCTTGGGGTCCTTTTGGGGACAAGATGGGGGCCTCTTGGGGGCAGTCTTGGGGGCCTCTTGGGTGCCTACTGGGGGCCTCCTAGGAGAATCTTGGGGGCCTCTCGGGGGCCTCCTGGGCCTCCTGGAGGCCTCGTGTGAGCGTCCCGGGGCATCTTTGGAGCCTGGGGGCCTCTTGGGGGCTTCTGAGGGCCTCTCGGGGGCAGAGAGCTCGACATGTCCGTTCGGTCCCCCGCCTGGGCCCCCTCTCGGAACAGGCTTGGGGGCCTCTGAGGGGCAGTTTTGGAGACCTCTCGGGCCGTCTTGGGGCCTTCTGGGGCCGGTTGGGGCCCTCGTGGAGGCCTCTTGGATCGTCTTGGGGCGGTCCTGGAGGCCTCTTGGGCCGTCTTTGAGCGTCGGGAGGTCGGAAAGTCGAGGATCCCACCATCATTGGAAAACAGATGGAACGTCCAAGATGTTGGCCTTTCGGGGCCCTCTTGGGAGGCCTCCTAGGACTCTTGTGGCGTCTCGGAGGCCTCTTGGGCCGTCTTGGGGCCAGCTTGGGTGTCCTGGTGCGAACTTGCGGCGTGTCGGGTCCCTCTTGGGCAGTGTCGGGGGTCATTTGGGGGCCCTCCTGGCCCGTCTTGGTGCCCTCCTGGGTCAGACAAAGTCATGCGGGAAGCCGCGGGGGAGCCCAGGGGAACCTCGGGGAAACCAAGAGTCTCGAGAAGTGTGGGGTCCAGGCCATTCAGAGACCCCTCAGGAGTGAGGACTGAGGCTCTGAGGATTAGGCCAATGACCTGCCTGCACGCCCGCTCCGTGCCCAGCGGCACGGGGGCGGATGCTGTGTGGCGCACGCTGTCTCCTGTGGGATGTGTGGTGCAAGTGTTAAAGTGGTGCTGTCTGTGTGGAAGCGTTCTGGCAGGACGCAGGGCACGCCCACGAGGTCTCCAGCCGGCACACGGTGCGCCGTGCGAGGCGCCCGCGGCCGCCCACCGGTGGGAGCCTCTGCAGGCCCAGCCCGGCGTCGGGGGCGCCGAGGAAGCGCCCACGGCCGCCCACGAGGGCGAGGGCCCAGCACGCCAGCCCGGTCAATGGAGAGGCGAGGCGAGAGCTTGGAGTCCACTGCCCCTCTGTTGCGAGGCAGCTCTGTAGGAGGAGGTGCAGAGGGCACGGTGTTTACACGGCTTGGAGGAGCTCGTGAATTCAGAAGGGGTCGGGATCGGCGTGCCTCGAAGAACTCGCGCCCCTCCGAATCGCCATCTTGTGGAACATCTGCGGACCTCTGATATGTTGCTTTCCGTCGTCGTTTTCCTCATTGCTCCCATCTCCTTTCTCTATCCCCTGGATGGGGTCGAAGGCGGCCGCGTCTCGGGCGGAGGAGCGCCCCTTTCCTTCTCCCCCTCCTTCTTCGCTCCTCCTCTTTGCACCCCTGCTCCACCATCCGCCGTCCCACCTTGTCCTCCATCCTTGCTCCAAGAAAGAGATGATGGTGCCGCGCGCCCGCGTTAGCAGTGGATTGCCCGTTCGATATCCAGGCACAGCGAACCAGCAAAGTAGAGGGTGTGGCCAATGCGAACGGTCGGGGCGCACTCCACGCGCGGGCGGCGCCAGCCGCCAACTACAGCCGCAAAGCTAACATGGAAAGTGTTTGGTGCGTGCGGCAAGGTTCGCGACCGTGCCAGCGCAGCGGTCTGAACGGTGACGCTCCGAGCTATGCTTGCTCAGACGTCCGGGGCGTGTGACACATGCCGTGTTGTCGGACTGTTGTCGCTTTCTTGGGGGGTCATTCTGAGCCCTCTTGGGACGTCTTGGAGCCGTTGGGGGCAGCCCGGGCGCTGCGTTCCACGGTGGCCGCCCTGAGCCCAGGATGCATGTATTTGCAGTACCTGTGGGCCGCCCTGGGCGAGGGCTGTGTGTATTCGCGCTCCCCCCAACTGGGGACGTCGACTTCGGTTTTGGTTTGGCAAGTAGGGGTACCTTCGAGTAGGCCCACCTTCGAGGTTCGTGTCTTCAACTGTGTAATTGCGCGCGTGGGTCCACCGTTTACACAGATCGTGGTGTGATCTGTGTACACATTGTGTTCTCATCTGTGTATGTGGAGCGTGCTCCCCGCGGGTCGTGGTGGCTGGGCGGGAAGTTTCGCGCTTCTCTCGGCTTCTCTTCGGGGGGGCTCTGCGCGATGGGAGGGAAACGGCGCGAGAGAACGGGTGGCGACGGTGCCGGGGGATGAAAGGGGGAGGAGGGGAGGGGGTGAAATGTGCCCAGGCGGAGCTGCAGCATCGGCGCCAGCATCACGAGGGCGAGGAAGGCGGGGTGGGCAGACGGAGGAAGGATGAACTGCGCATAGCCGTAGGGGACGGGGGGCTGGCGAGGGCGGGGGGCGTGTTGGGCGGAGGAGGGCGAGGACCAACGCCACGCAGTGGCGGAAAGAGGACAGGGGAATGACGAGGAGGAGGAGGGGCATGATGAGGAGGGGAGAGTCGGATGGGCACGAGGAGGATGAGGCGAAGGGGAGGGAGAATGGGGAGGAGGAGGGGGATGGTGCATGAGGGTGGTGCGGGCGCGAGCTACAGCTCATTTGGGCGGCGTTCTGCGTGCCCGTGCAGCACCGTTAAACAGAAGTGGCGGCTTCAGAGCAAGGCTGTCAGGGTCGTCGTCCGCGGCGTGCGCCCAGGCCAACCGGTCGAGTCCACTACGCTATTCTGCGTCGTGTTGATGCCGTCCGTCTTCGCCAGACTGCGCATCCACCGATAGGCTGAATCTGCGTTTCAAGGTTTGCCTCACGACCCCGCTTTATAGTAACAGGCCAACGTTGGAATCCAAGCCAAAGCCCGCTGTGCAAGCATAGTTTGGGGGACTCGTGCAGCTTTTGTACGGATAGAGGGCGGACCGTTGTACACAAACATGTTCTCGTTTAAGATCTCAGCAGATTTGTTCGCCCGTTGCTGGAAAAATGTATTTGTGGATGCCCACGTCCAATTCTACATGGGGCGACGTCCTTCTTTAACCAGCGGTTGGTTGTCTCTTCCCTTTCCTCTGTAATGGGGGCGGTCCGATACCCTATCTACTTTCAACGCTTTCGTACAGGTTGTTTCTACGCGCTTCTTTCGAACGATGGGTGCCGATTGCTAAGAACACGAAGCGACATTGTGAGATATATCACGGGTGCAGGGCGGTTCTTCTTCGGAACAGGTTTGTCGCTGGATGGTTCCATTCGTTGTCTGCTCCCACCTTGTTAATGTTTTTGCAAGTCAGGGGGGGGTGCGGTTCCCCTTCGGAGCGGGCGTGTCACTGGACGGTTCCATTCGCTTCTTGGTCCCACTTTGTCGCATCTTCTGCAGCTCATGGGACCGACGGTCGTTCCTTGTGAACACGGTGCTGTGGGCCAAACTGCTGGCCCGTGGGGCGCGGCCTTCCCCGACGGCGCTTCGCGCAGTGAGATGACATGGTGTGGGGCTTTCACGGAGAGGAGAGTCGGGCGGAAGAGTGGACTGCAGCATCGTTCACACATCTCGGGTTGTACCGTTTTTTCCTCTTCTGTGTGACCATTGGGCGTACCCGGAACAAGATTTTGTGAAGGTCGTTTGGAAATGAATCTCGTGCCTCAGAACATCCAGCGCGCGCTGCACAGTTTTGGCCGATGCCTTTGCTATTTCATGCCGCCGGTCCTCTCAGAGGGCCTGCGCGCCCAGCGCGCCCGTCGCCCGCCACTGGGCCGCCTCTGGGCGATGACGGCTTGCCGCTTGCACTTCGGTTTCCTCCTTCTCCGTGCCCTTTTATTTGATTTCCCAGGTCCTGAGGACGGGCGCGGTCAGGTTCTATGACCTCCAGAGCGGCCAAGCCTGCGGCAAAGGCGTCAAAGCTGGCGGCCCCGTGGGTCAGGAGGAGCCGTAATCCTTTCCGCATGCAAAGGAGGAGCAGTTGGAGAGGAGGGATAATCAATCACTATAGTCACCCTGTTCGACAAGGTATGCACAGCAGGATATTCACAATCAATTGTTAGTGCCGTGATGCAGGGTTTGTCATCACGCTATTTCGCCTGCAGTGGGGGAAGACGTCCTGACAATGAGGGGATGGATGGCCGGAGGGAGCAGGAGGAGGAGGAAGGGAGGTAGGGGTACGAAGATCGGGGGCGTCCATGAGGGGGGCGATAACCAGGGCATACAAATGCGTGTATGGAGGTCATGATCGGCCCCCTGCGAAGGCGACGGTGACGAAGACGGCCAGGAGGACGACGGCCAGGAGGACGACGGCGAAGACGACGACGAAGGCAACGAGGACAACGACGACGACGAGGACGGCGACGGCAGATTCCCGCCCCGCGCCGTCGAAGGACGCGGTCGCC